ATATATATATATGTGTGTGTGTGTGTATATATATATATATATATATATATATATATATATATATATATATATATATTATATTATAAAAATAGATTTATTTATATATTGTATATTTTAAAATAGATATATGTATATATTATATTTTAGAATAGATATATTATATATTATATAATAATTCACGGCTCCTCCGGACGTTTAACGTTCGATCCCCTATATTTTATTAAAATAGGTCTTCTCTTTCTAGAGGGATGGTCCGTTGTCTTCTAATATACAGAGATGGTCGTGAATATATAATGAAAGTCCGTTTGATTTATATTTGTGCGGTTAGAGTGAAAAATTGATGACTACCATTATAGCCTAATGAGAAAAAAAACCCCTCCCATGGTAAGCAGAGGTAAGTATTTATATTTCGGTACCGCAATATACATCCAGAATTAAATACCGACAACGCAATAACTACCGAGCTCGGCTCACTCCGCTCTGCGGGGAGTTTTGTTCACAAAGAGTTATTTTTCTTAAATAGAGAAGTAAATATATATACACAAATAAAATTGAGTTCGTGAAGAGTTGAATGTACTAACCAGTCCTGTAGAAGTATCTTAGGTAGGCCATTCTGATTCATTATTACCGTTATAAAGTAAAAATTCATAGCCTTCTGAGCTATAAAAAATTGAATAAATATGCGTTTACGTTAAACTTTTATTCGGTACCCACAGAACGGAATAAGCTTAGCCCTGCATCCCCTTAAATTAGTGCCCTGCCACCCCTGCGGCTGTGTGGGTAGGTGTGGGCTGTGGGCCTGTGGCCTGTGTGTGGAAAAAAAAAAATACTATTTATTTATTTTGTTAAAATAGGGGAGTTTTCTTTTGACCCTCACTTGTGTCTAACCTCATTTTTAAAAAGTAAGGCATTGAAGATATAAAAGTACAACGTTTTACGTATACTTTTGATTTTTAAACGTTGCATCGTTTTTTGCAAATATATTGGCCTAAAATAATTTGATTTTCGACTTGGTAGATGCACCTTTTCGCCATATTCTGGCCACGAAACGCGCAACTGACCGAGCTACTGACCAATCACTGACAATTGGTAGGCACTTTGGGGCAGCGATATTCCAACAGGCACACTCATATAGCTTTGGCAGCACCCTCTAGGTCTCTCTAGAGAAGAAAGAAAATATGGCTGAACGGACTAACGTCCGTAGGACTTTGGCGGGTAAAAATAGGTCCAACCATATGATCTGACGAATGACCCTATATATATATATATCCAGGACTACTCTGTGGATATAAAAGTATAACGTTTTACGTATACTTTTTTAAAAAATTAAACGTTGCAACGAAAAAAATTATGAGGTTAGACTTGTGTTGTGTGGCCTGATCACCCTGATGACTGATGAGGCCTCACTGGTCTGGCCACCATCGGCTACACTACTATTTAGTAGTAGAGTAGCTTATGAGAGCTGTGTGTCGTGTGAAGGCTAAATATATTTTTACAACGTTTTTACTTTCGGGTTGATATTATGTATTTACAACGTTTACATCAAATATTGACCTAAAATATATTCACGGTTTAACTTGGTTTAGATTGTCTAATTCAATAATATTAGCCACAATCACTTGTGGACCCCAACCAACCGCAAGAAAAGTAGGACACCTCACTCTAGCTCACAGCTATCAATGTGAAGGAAAACGTCACGTATACTTTCTTGAAAACGTTGCAACGTTAAATTAAAACACAAATCGGATTTAGGTTAGTGAGGTTCCGAGAGTGGAGCACAGGGGAAGGAGACTGGAGACTTAAAACTGGAGACTGGTCTGGGGGTGAGGGCCTGGAGAATGGAGAGTTGGAGACTCGACAGGGGCCCGCTGGGCCGCTGGGGGCTGTGGCCTGGGAGCTCTACTACTAGTAGCTGTAGTAGAGGGCCTGGGACTGGGGGGGGGAGGTATATATATTTTTAAATAGTATTCAAACTAATATAGCAAACGAAAAATTTAATTCCTCCAATTCCTGTTGTATTAGTGTATAATACATTCCCAATATGCCACATAGTTTCGGGAACGGCTATTAATAATTACCACAACTTCTATTTTCTTTTTTTCGGAGTAACTAGCACATATTCTATTAGTTATAGTTGATATAACCACAAAATTTGAGTTATCGAGAATTTGTTTTTAGAAGACGTATAATAAACCCCTATTTTTCAATACCTTCTCAGTATGACTGTACTACATAAAATATAAAACCGGTATTTATCTATCTCTCTCTATACACGAGACGCACAAGAGTCTCAACTGTCAACATCAAAAAAAAAAACTCCAAAAACCTGGTCAGATGCTTAGGCTTGAATTTGTTTTTAAATTTTTTTTTCCTAAATAAATGAATAAAACAATGCAAAAACAGTAGAAAAAACTTTTTTTTTCTTCAATTTTTACAAGCGCAGTATAATCTAACCGACCGAAAACGCGGTGATTGTGTACTCATCGGAGCTCTCGACAAATACTTGCTAACCCCAGAATAGAGGTATCAGTTCTGAACCTATGTGCGACACAGCAACTCCATACTTCATGTGATACCATACCATCAAGTGAACCACATCACAAGCGACGCACACAACAGGAGCAACAGACGGACGAAAAACGTATCGCAAACGTACTTCCTTCTAAACTCTAATCGATTAGTATTTGACTCTAATTACGCCACATACAGTGTCATGAACGACCTCAAACTAAATATACGTACATTACAAGGTATTACTTCAGTCATATTTATCCTAATCGCCTTAAATTGCAGAAAAATTCAATCTGCGGAACCTAACTCTGGCTGAACGCGGAATCGCAAGTATATGACGCTGAATCACGATGAGCAGCCCGCGAGTGCAGTATAGGGGCGACCCGCCCACTGAAAGTGTTAGCAATAGTAAAGTTACAGATCAAAATCAAGAACGACATGATCAAGTAGATGAATCTCAACAACAACGAACCCCAAATCAGCATCAACAGCAACACTATCACTTCCACCCGCAACACGCACAGCAACAACTATTGCAACAAGACCAGCAACAGCAGCAACACCACCAGCAACAACACCACCAGCAACAACACCACCAGCAACAGCATCACTCACAGCATCAGCCGCAACAGCATGATTCGAATGCCCAAGGCTATAACAATCAGTCAGGATCTCAGTACAATGTCGGACCGAGAGCTCAGTGTCAATCACAACACAACGGTTACTCAAACCCACAATCGCACCCCTACGATAACAGAGGCAGATCAAATAACGGGACTCCGCGTATCATGACATACAATCCCAATCGTCAACCTCAGCAATATTCTAATACGCCACAGGCCGGCTATAGTGACGGCAACGGTAGCGCTAATAATGTGAATAATTTCACTCAAGTCAACGGCAGTAATAGCACACACGTAACATCTGAGCGAGAGGGACGGGGAACGGGGCGGTTTGGTGCTCAGGGACCCACGTGCAATTCGGATGAACTTGGGGACCAAGGTGTATTGCAGCCACCACAAGCCAACTCGCATATGAATACGCTGCAAGCACCTATGCGCAATCAAGGTTTCAACAGTAACAATCAAAATACGGGACAAGACATGCAGGGCCGAAGCTACGGACCACCACATGCAAACAGCGGTGGGCCTTCGAGCACGAGTGCTAGTAGTAGAGGTAGTTACAATGTTGCCAATGGTAACAACGGGCAGATGCGACACTCAAACACACACTCGCAACAGAACTACCAGTGTCAGCAACCACAATTTATTTCGCAAGAGGAGGCTGAGTCTCAGCAGCAAAGGCATCCACAGCAGGCCGGTACAGGGGCGTTGGTGAGGGATAACAAATATATGCGGAATATTCCATCTCCTATGAATGAGCAAAGGGTGCCTTCGGACAGTATCACCCCAGAACAGAATCAGGGATTCAACAGTTCACAAGGGCCGGGCGATATTAAATATGCACACACACTGCGTGCACAGCCTCAATTGGCTATCGCAGCAGAAGCAGCTAATGTCCCGCAGCAGCAGTCACAGCCGCCTGGATCAAGGGGTACTGAAGCAGAGGATGCAAGTCAGAATGGCAGTGTAAGTGGACGACGGCGCGTATCCGGCTATAGACTGAAGACGAGCGTACCATCTATCACGACGTCACAATTGCCTCACCATTGGAGATGCAACAAGGCTTTGGCGGTACCCTTTGTGGTATACTCCAGCGAGCCCATACCAGATGGAACCGAAGTGCAGGTTGTGGCTATCACGTCAGATGGCAATCAAGGGGAATTGCGGAACAGTAACGCGTACTTCAGAGCTAATGTTGCTAACTTTAGCGGATTCCGATTTGTAGGTAGATCAGGCCGCGGGAAAGCTTTCAGATTGATTCTTAAGTTCCAAACACATCCACCAATGGAGGCTGTCCTGGAACTGAAGGTCAAGATTACAGTGGACGGGCCCAGACCTAAACGTGCGAGGAGACTCTCTGAGCCAAGTAAAGCTGGTATGTGTATATTTGTCTATTAATCTTCATATTATTTTCCCTCTGTTTTGAAGCCTTTGACAAATTTTGCTTCCTCGGCACGTTCGAAATGTTTGCTCTGTATTCCTGTACTCTTTTTTTTTGTCCCAGTTGAACCCCTTTCGCTGGGCGTGCGTGTGTCTTCACTGAATTCCGGAGGGATCGATTGTTCTGTTGGCCTTTTTTTTCACTGTCAATCACATCAAATATACACAGCTGAGGCTGAAGCGTGGGAGGCTAAAGAACTTGAAAAGGCGAAGAATGCGTCAGAGGATAAAGGTGATGCAGCCGCTGCTGGTCAGGCTGAAGATGGGCACGCTGACAACAAAAGTCATCATACAGGCAGTCACCACACTGGGAGTATACATGGAAACAACGTCGGGGATGTATATACTAATTCTCCGGCGAAGAAAATGAGACCAGGGACACCAATGGCAAACTCGTCAAGGGCTGGGTATGTCAAATGATAGAATGCTACAAGATGCCTTGGAAATCTTAATACTCGCGACCGCACAATAGTCATCGTTATGCCCATAGTTATTGGAGTCACAGCCGCTTTCGCCATACATTTAGAGCATCTATAGTTGACGACTTGTCTAAGATTATGCCTACTCTAGGTTGAATTTGGCGGAGCTCGATTGTGTACAGATTTATCGTCCCTGATGTGCTAACTGGGTTCTCTGCTATTCACAATCCGCACGTTGTGTCTGCTGACAGTATGGATATTGCATCCTCGACTCCAGCTGTTGTGTGAACGACTTTTATATAGTAGCTTAGTCGATATTGCAATTTTCACGCATAATTACATCGGTTGGGTTATGAATCGGTCGTTTTCTGGTATGGTGTTCGGTGTATTCAAGCTCAATCAGAAGTGATATATCTGTGTTACCGATATGAAATTGAACAAGGGCCAATTCTTTTTGTGGGAACCATATTCGCATGGCTATAATTATATACATTCTGTCAACCCATCTGCAGGTACCCGCCCAAGCCTGGGAACTCACGGAACAACACGAATATCAGATCGAGCGGAGATCCAGTATGTCTGTTGCAATTTGGGATATCTGCTATGTATATCTTGAGCACTGAATATGCCTTTTGCTTCTGAGTGGCTTCGTGATAATTGCATATACACATACTGCACGCTCGGAATTTAGCGGTTATTACTATAGCTTGTAAAATGTCGCCCACACGCTCTTTGCTCGACCACTTCAACCAAAAGTCAACTAGCAGTTCTTTATGAGCTAGTTACTATTATGTTACATACGCTTTGTACTTTCCACTAAATGTTTCCTTCCCCATTCGAATAGGCGACGGCGTATGAAAATGGAATGGTCAATTCGGGCTCTAATGTGAACCCTGGCCCGCATATTATTTACGCTCAGAACAGCAATAACCCTAGCCACCATAGTCATGCACCCAGCTTTGATGGTAACAGTCAGAGCAACGGGAGCCTTCGAAGCCAACACAGTCAACCTGCTGGTAATGATCAACTGTTGCACTACTAGAACACCATTCACAGGAACAAATCTGGGAGCTTATTATATAGTAAATTTATTTGTGAAATATGTGACTGATGGATGTGAAAATACATATGAAGAGCAATTCGTTGTCTATGTATGGTCTGTTGGGTACTCCACATGACATGCGTACCCAGGTATGTTGCTTTATTATTGTATGGCGGTCAATGCTTGTTTTTGAACTGCTGTGATGCTGAGTCGAGTGCCTTCAAGCGGGTCTACGATTTGGAGATTTTACCTGTAGAAAGAAGAATTGGTGTTTCTTCATTCAATGTCGAGTTTATCAACATTCATATCCCTCATATTAAGCGAGAGTATTTTGTGCACACATAGTATACGTGTGTGTATTTATTCTTAATTTATAATATATATATCATACATTCATACATACACACATAGTACATATATACACGTATAATTACATACGTGTATGTATGTTTGTACCTTTTTACCTTCGTATGTATGTACTATATGTGTATGTATGTATGTATGTATGTATGTATGTATGGATGTATGTTTATATATATATATATATGGGCGTGGATGTGGGTGTAATATCGTTCCTTATATCTATGTATACCGGAATCGTTGCTTATATTTCTATCGTCATTAATGATTATATTAACGCGACCCTTTTGTGTTTCGACATCACACCAGTATACCCAATGGTCACGCATTTAATCATCTACAACACATCAACTCAATATCTTAATGGGCTGTATTGATAGAACGCGATCAGAATAGGCAGGATTCTTCACATGGAGGAAGTCATGGACCACAACAGAATGCTGGCAGCGCTGCCAGCTGCTCATCGTACGCTATACTTCAAGGTGAGTAGCCTCTTTTTTGTATCAAAAGCTCTGTAGTTTATAATGCATTATGCATATTGCATAATATACTCGTATGCTAGCTTAATTTTTGGAGCTTCCTCCTGCCCACTCAGTCACCTCTGTACATTTGAGAATAGGGTTGAAGCTTGTCTCGCTTTCTGTGACCAATGGCTTGGAGGGCGATCCTATCACGGCTGTGATCAAGATTAGTGAAAGTATAGTGCAACAATTCGGATGGAGCAATATGAGCTACAGTGTAGCCTTCGGCCAACATCCCCCGGTCTTCACCAATCCGATTGTCAACAACAACGGCCAGATGTACTACAGATTCCATGCACCCGCCATCCACTCGAAAATGACTCAGGTAATATAGGAAGAGATGTTGTCCGCATACTTAAGATAGTGTTTGTATAGTGCACTGTCGGTGCCGATGTCTTGCGTTTCGTTGTGCTGGCGCTTGACTCTCTGCTTCCAATTTGCGATCGAGTCATTGCATTGCGCATGTGTGCAAGTGAAGCTGGAAGCTTCTATGACGCCAGATATGTTATACAAGTTACAATTGCACTAACCTGCTTGTGCATTAGAAAACATGTGCAGTTTCACCAACCCGACTTGCATTCCTTACTTTTCATCTTACTCCCTTTCAGCGCTCGTTCTAGTATCAGGGCTCATATACCCTTGTGCGCCTTTAAATTTGCACGCATAAATTTCCAGTTGACGGCCTTGGTGAAGGTCGCTAACAAACAGATATACTGTGGAGAAAATATGTTGATGTTCGAACACAGGTCCAATGCAACACCGCTGCCGCGAAAATGTATGCCTTCTTGACTCTTGCACGATTGCTATCCTACGCTTCGTTTGCGAATCCATGTCGTCTAGTCTGCATCACCGCGTTTGCTTGTTATAACATGCGCTCTTATTTATTGTTTTGCGGAATACTATCATTGATTGGGACGGAACTTTTGTACCTCTCATCAGATAAATTGGTGTGAATCTCTTTCAGCTGCCCTATGAGATTTATGCTCACAATTGTATGTAAATTTTGTCAACGAAGCGCGTGTGACGCGGGCTCTGATAATGCGAAGTCGACATGGGGGATACAATTATATTTTAAGTCTTTCTAACATAGTCTATGAATACGTAAACCCTCCCAGCAGACGGCACCGTGGACTCGCGAGGGCTAGGCACGGAGATGTTAAAATTGCACGAGGAGTTTTCGGAAATGATGGAGCAGCGCCAACCCGGCTCAAATGCGGTATGTCTGCATGTACGACGCGCTGGTGCTCAACTTTTACTTCCAATCGCACATCAAAATGACCAAGGTCAGCTTGGTTACGCTGGGCTACACATGTATGGGAGACGTCATATTAAGAGTTTCCAGGAGATGTGGATGTATAGTTCGGCTTCTTGGGAGGATATGTTGAACATAGCCACGTATTCCAAGCGTATCAGCCAGAAAGTCTGGCTTTTCTTCTTCTTTTTTCCTTTTTTTTTCCTTTTTGAACTAAATATGTATGTTATTATCTGGTTCTAGTCACCGGAGGAAGTGGCATTCCTATCGAAATTGTGCTTCGAAGAGGACGTCATGTTACAGAAGTTTAGAGAAAGCATCATGGTTTTGGGTCAAATGCGGTTTCTACCGCCCGTAGGGGGGTCACCGGATACCAGCATGGTAGGTTAAATGCAATGTAATTTGGATTTGATTAAGAACCAGCTGATCAAGGAAGTTTTTATTCGCAATATGAAAAATGCGAAATGATATTGAATTCAATATAATTTATGTATGCATGAAATAAAGTTAGTAAATGTGTCAAATTTCCGCGTTACATTGGTGGCTGTGTCTAAGTACTGATACAGACCAATTTCCTCGTCAATATATCACAGACGGCACTGCACCTTGCGGCCGAGTTTGGTTGGCAAAATTTCATGGGCGTCCTGCTCGATGCCGGGGCTGATTTAGACCAGAGAGATGCCATGGACTTCACTGTAAGTGTATCATCCGAATGTAACTGTCTGTCACTTGTCGAGGTCAATTTGTGCTGTCAAGTTTAGGCTTCACTCGTCGAAAATGTGGTATACGTGCACCTATTGCGCTAAGGTATCGCATCAATACTAATTATTACTTATATTATTTGCTGTAGGCCGCTTCGTATGCTTACAAAGCTGGCCAGCGAGCCCTGCTAGAGTACCTGAAATCCAGAGACGGGTACAACCACAACTTCTACAAACCGCAGAGCCAGTATCGGCCGCCTTTGGAGTATCAGAAGCAACAACAGCAACTGCTACAGCAGCAGTTGGAGTACGAGCAGCAACAGCAGACGCGAACCAATATACAACAGCGCCAAACAAATGAACAACAACAGCAAACCATGACCCAAGAGATGCAACAGCAACGACAACTGGAGCAGCAGCAAATGCAGCGACAGCTGGATGCGCAGCAGCAACAGCAGGAGCAGCAGCTGATGGCGCTGCAGCAGCAACAGCAGCGACTGAACACGCAGCAAGAGATGCAGCAGAAGCAACAGCAGCAGAATGACCAGGTGGAGCAGCAGCAACAGCAGCGCAAGCAACAGTGGGAGCAGCAGCAGCAGCGCATGGTCCCGCGAGGAGGGGGAGAGTTTAAGCCGTATGAACCCGATCAGCCTCAGCAACTACAGATTGGCAGCTCACAACAACAGCAAGATCAGGGCCAACAACAAGGTCTAGGTCCAGGACAATTCCAAAGTCAGGGCGCGCAGCAACAGGTATGATTGTAGAAAAAAATGTACTGGTTCATACTTACGAATCGGTGGTTGTCTGCAATTTGTGGGGGTGTTATATTTTTACGTAGGAAAATGAATAATGCAATGTTCGCACATCTCATCCACTAGTCACGAAAATTTAGTGTTTACATTATATATCGACATTATGATTAATTGACATGTTTCTTTTTTGTACAATGGACCTAGATGCGGAGCTTAGACCGACTACCTTCGAAGGGTAAGTTAGGCTCGTGAGGAATTGGAGTGTCAGCACAATGCGGTGTGTCGTTCAAAATTAAGTGGCCAAGAATTCCACATCACATCAAATATATGAGCGAACGGTTTCCGGAGCCTTTGTGTTACGTAATTACGTGCTTAGTCGTTCTTTCCCTTTCCAGTACACTGATTTTGCATCTTCTGCTGAAATGTCTTATCTGCATCCATATCCGAAAGTTCTTGTTCTACCCGTTTTGATTTTGGGTGACAGGCAGAAAGAAACTGGTTCTGAATCGCTGATCGATTTTACTTCTACGTATTTTTTAGCATATATATATACATGTATATAAATAAAGTGTGTTTGTTTATATTTACACGTCAATGTATATGTATGTGTTGGGTATGTATATATATATATAAAGTGTACATGTTTTATATACATATATATAAAGTGTACGTGTTTATATTTACACGTCAATGTACATGTATGTATGTTATGATTGTACTTATTTTGAACAGTCAGTCTATAGTCTCGTTCACCTCACTCTGTCCACACCAGTTGGTTATGATTGCATTTATTGCATACACTCAGTCTATAGTCTCTTTCATTAACTCTCTCCACTACAGGTGGTTATGATTGCACTTATTACAAACACTCAGTCTATAGTATCATTCACCTCACTCTCATATGTGCATGTATATATGTATATAAAGTGTACGTTTTTATATTTACACGTCAATGTATATATATATATAAAGTGTACGTTTTTATATTTACACGTCAATGTATGTATATGTGTATATATATATATGTATGTATATGTTTATATTTGCACGTCAATGTGTGTGTATGTGTGTATATATGAATATGTATATATATATGTTAAAGTGTACGTGTTTATATTTACACGTCAATGTGTATATGTGTATGTATTTCTATATATATGTACTTGTAAATATTGTGTTTTTGTTTGTGTTTGTCTAAGTGAGTTGATTTCGGATCATTGAGGGGGTTTTTTCTTACTGAAATTGTGTACATGTCCAGACCAGGGAGGGGCATCTTCCCCTTTGTAACTTGCAATTTGAGGTTTTATCGATACTGAATTCTTGGTGAGAGTCCCTGTACTAGTGAAGTGAAAACTCGGGCGACTAAAAGAGGGATAGTTGTACCATTGTTTGTGTAGAAAAGTCAGAGTTAGAAGATGATTTATTTACTCGCTTATGGGGATGTGTTATGTTCAGCTTTTCAGTGTTAGCGACAGTTGTGCTACTTCATTATAGTAGATCATACGAGGCTTCATATGTTTGTATGCAAATACAACATGCTTTTTTACACACTATTCTTTTGTCCAGTCGCATATATGCACGCACGGTTGTATGTATTGTTTTACAGATTTAAAAATGTAAGCTTTTCTGTATATTCGTAAGACCTTTTAATTTTCTATAGAATACTGATCATGTTTTTATCGCTGTACGTTTGTAGGTTGTCAGCTTTCGTTCGATCCTGGAAGACAGTCACAATTCGATAATAATGGACAGCAACAACTCGATAACAATGGACAGTCACAATTCGATAACAATAGACAGCAACAATTCGATAATAATGGACAGCAACAATTCGATAATAATGGACAGCAACAATTCGATAATAATGGACAGCAACAATTCGATAATAATGGACAGCAACAATTCGATAATAATGGACAGCAACAATTCGATAATAATGGACAGCAACAATTCGATAATAATGGACAGCAACAACTCGATAATAATGGACAGCAACAACTCGATAACAATGGACAGTCACAATTCGATAATAATGGACAGCAAGGGTTTGGTTCAAGGAGTCGGCGACAGTTAAACATTGGAAATCAACAACAGTCTGACAACGGGAATCAGCAACAGTTCAACAACGGGGGCCAACAACAGCTCAACAATTGGGGTCAACAGCAGTTCAACAATAGGGATCAACAGCAGTTCAACAATAGGGATCAGCATCAGCAACAATTCGACTACGCTGGTCAGCAACAGACCCCTAGTGCGCAGCAATCTTTTAACTCCGGAAGCCGCCCACAATATGAATTTAACAGCGGACTTCAGCCTGGTCAGGTTACCCATTTGAATCAGGGCGGCCGAGCCTGCACCGCGCAACGAAGTAATCGTGCTTCGAGTGATAGTTGTTATAGTGGATACCAGGCACAAAAGCGACCGAGTGTCAGGCTCAGCGGAATCGCCTCAGAACCAAAACAATATGTAGCACAAAAAAATGAACCGCATCCAGAGGGGGGGGCTCAATACAGTCGAGCTCGAATTCGCATAATTCTGAAGCAGGTTTAGAGAGTGCCGATACGGTACAGAATTACCAGAACCAAAATCAGAACCAGAACCAAAATCAGAACCAAAATCAGAACCAGAACCAAAATCAGAACCAGAACCAAAATCAGAACCAGAACCAAAATCAGAACCAAAATCAGAACCAGAACCAAAATCAGAACCAGAACCAGAACCAGAACCAAAATCAGAACCAAAATCAGAACCAGAACCAGAACCAAAATCAGAACCAAAATCAGAACCAGAACCAAAATCAGAACCAGAACCAGAACCTGCATCTGCACCATTATCAGCAGTAAAATCAACAGCAAAATCAACAGCAAAATCAACTTCAGCAACAAGGCCCGAATTCACAACAAGATTTGGAAGAGGACATTCAACTTGAAACCTATCAGTTAAAGTGACAGTATTGAAATGACTTAAATTACTCAGTTCACTCAGAAGTCCGTTGGGTCGAGGTATTGCGAAAGGTCAAGCATAATATGAGATAAGGCTTTCGATCTGAGCGGCGATTTTGACAATACACAGCCTGTGTCCAAAGCGAGCGGCATTACACAAATATAATTTATTGCGACTAGTAGCATGCAAATAATTAGTTGTACACTCAACAAAATTAAAATTATAATGGTATTGAAAAACTGTTAGTCCGTTAGTACGATAGATCTTAACCCAACTCACAGAAGAGTATATTGGTCTATATGACAAAATCCCTTCGCCTCTCGACGTAAGGCATCCTCGTTCGCTATGACCTTTGTAGTTGCCAAGCATGATTCAAATGAGGTCCAGAAATGCACCACATGCAAGCAGCCCTTTGCAGTCAAGGTGGTCTCATCAAGACAGGCCAATGTCAGATTGAGATGGAGGTACTGTTACTTGTGTGAGAAGTACTTGATCCGTATTGTATCACATTGATGAGTTTTGCTACAGTCGTGCTGCATCGAGAATCTTGATAGTTCTAAGACTATATTATTCAGTCCTAAGAAGTGTCTGACTTATTTATACTCGCATTCCCGTCGACGGAACGGGTAAGTCTTATACTTCTATCGATTTGCAGCGAATTGTATCATTTCTGAAAGCGCCACTTGCCCGCTCGACTATCACATTAGATGTCTTAGTTGAATCCCAAAACGCCAGATGCAGTCTGTACACGAAGGATAGGGTAGCTTATCGTAATGTCCTGGGCTGGACGATCGCAGCAGAAATCTAAAACAATACACTCAAACGGATGAGAGATACATAAAGTCTTCAGAACAAATTAGGAAGGTGAGATGTGGGTTTCAGCTTTTCAAGACGTTTATTGAGCCAATACCTTACAAAACAAACTGTCTATGAAACTATTCGGAACCTTGTGTATGTACATCCTAACCTCGAAAACCACCGTCATATATATGATGTCCAAAAGAGCGTCTGAAACACACAAGAGACAGAGAGAAAGCTACGCAGCAATCCGTCAAGCCGCCCTTCAACCCGTGAGCACCACCATCGTAGTCAACGTAGAGTCGCGTGCCGTTTTTTTACATATAGGTGATAGGCAATGTTGGGATACTGTGGCAATAGCATGTGCTTCTAAGTACACTACAATAAGCTTTATACTTCACCCCATCACGCAAAAGAAACCCTAGCCATCCACCGCTCGGCCCCCATTACCACCACCATCGTAGACAAATGAGTCATTATGCGCCTGCCATTCACGGTATACCGCACCACAGTCCCACACGAAAGTCCTGGGATGGGTCAATATGCACCTGCCGTACACTATATACCACACCACAGTCCCACACGAGAGTCCTGGGATGGGTCATTATGCACTTGCCGTACACTATATACCACACCACAGTCCCACACGAAAGTCTTGGGATGGGTCGTTATGCACCTGCCATTCACGGTATACCACACCACAATCCCACACGAAAGTCTTGAGATGGATCATTATGCACCTGTCGTACACTATATACCACACCACAGTCCCGCACGAAAGTCTTGGGATGGGTCTTTTATGCACCTGCCGTACACTATCTATCCACAC